ATACCGCCGTATAAGACGACCCCCCCCCACTTGGAGGCATGTTTGTCGGGGCAAAAAAGTCGTCTTATACGCCGGCAAATTTGTATTTGTAATCTTGCTGAGTCGTTGCTAACTGTGAAAACGTATTTCTGCAAAGTATGCATGTGGGTGGATGTTTAAAACAGGAAGAATGAAACTGTTGGAAATGAGGTAATGTACACACAGGTGTTCAAGGAAAGTGACAGTTAGTGAAGTTGTGAAGCGTGTATGTGGTTAGAAAAAAAGTATAAGCTTGAAGATCTTATTGAAGGCTTATTAATGTAAGAGTTTTATTGCTATTATATCTTTTATATCTATTCATCTCCAAATTATTAGAAACAATAAACCTCTGATCTTAAAGTAAGAATTTTTGTTTGTGTTGCTGTCTGTTTCCTATTTATATTTTTTATGACAATAAATCATTAAAAAAAACACAATAAAATTTCTGGGCAGAAGAGCTACCAGGACGTTACTTCAGAGGGTGTGATGGCAATTTGGGTTTCACCTTCAGGGCAACCCTCCCAGAATGACTCAGATTACTGCACCTGCCTATACTGACTCAATTTCTCAGCAGAGGTTTCTGAGAGGAGAAAGGACAAGCCAGATGAAAACCCAGTTATTTTCTAAGGCGCCAGAAAGTAAGATAAGAAATCATGGGTGGAAGCTTGTTAAAGAGAGCCCCAACCTAGAAGTGATGAGAAATTTTCTGTCAGTGAGAAGAATTAATCAATGGGATAGTTTGCCTCCTGGAGTTGTGGCTCCTCCATCAAGATCATCTGAAGCGTTGGTACCATTTTATAAGGCCTTGGTAAGGCCACATTTGTAATACTGCATCTAGGTTTGGTCGCCACAATGTAAAAAAAGATGTAGAGACTGTCTAGAAAGAGAGCAGAGAAGAGCAACCAGGATGAAACATATGAATGGATGCTGGAACTGGGCATGTCTAGTCTAATGAAGAGAAGGACCAGGGATGACATGATAGCAGTGTTCCACTATCTCAGGGGCTGCCCCAAAGAAGAGGGAGTCAAGCTATTCTCCAAAGTACCTGAGGGTAGGACAAGAAGCAATGGGTGGAAACTAATCAAGGAGAGAAGCAACCTAGAACTAAGGAGAAATTTCCTGACAGAACAATTAATCAGTGGAACAACTGGCCTCCAGAAGTTGTGAACGCTCCAATGTGAATGCTGGAAGTTTTTAAGAAGAGACTGGACCACCATTTGTCTGAAATGGTATAGGGGTTGGACTACAAGAACTCCAAGCTCCTTTCCAACTCTGTTACAACAGTTTCAGAATACGTTGGTGAAGTCACCCAGCTAGACTGGTAGGAAAGTTCACTCATAACTGGTCTTCTTTCTTTTCCCATTGGTTAGAAATGTTTGTTGCTTATCCAAGTAGCTTTTTCTGTCTGACCAGGGTGGGTGGGGAACTCCATATATGTCCTCCGTGGCGAATAGACTTCCATATATGTCAATATATATTCTATTCCAATTCCATTCTATTATACAATACCATCACTGGCTCACAGAGCAGCCTTTGAGAAACCACTCATGACAGTGGGAGGAAGCCAAGATGGGTGTGTGCCTCTTCCTCACACACACAAATCTCCCTTTGTTGTAATGACGAGGCAGTCGAGTTGTTTGATCATGAACAACTGAATCATGATGATCTTTATTGGAGTCTAGTCTTGCATTTATACACATTTTTAGTTATCCTCCATCACTGGTTAACTTTGGTTACTGCTTAACTTTCGTTACTGTTTAGCACAGTAATCCATACAATTAATTATCTCTAGTTAAAGTCTAGCATGTTTACTTCCTCTCTCGAATCCTCCTTTAGATTAGTGATTTTGTTTACCTGAGTTGTATTTGCTTGGAAACATTCTTTATATGAGGTTTGCCATCCGAGATTGGAACATTCCTGCAATTACAACTCAACATCCCTTCATTTTATTTCCACAACCACCATGTTGGGCAGAAGGTTTCTTAATCAGGAAACACATTCTGAAAGGGGGCAGCTCCAAGTTAAGCTACATCTTAAAACGGAAACATCATCCAGGTCAGGGATCCCCAACCTTTTCGACGCCGCGGCCCGGTTCCGGCGTCAGCTGGGCGCCGCCATTTTTTTTTGACGAAAAATCACTTCCGGTGACATCACCGGAAGTGATTTTTCGTCAAAAAAAATGGCGGCGCCAGCGCTTCTGGTGAGCTTTTTCGGGTAGAAATGGCTTTCTACCCGGAAAAGCTCACCCGAAGCGCTGGCGCCGCCATCTTTTTTGACGAAAAATTGCTTTTTTTACCAAAAAAAGATGGCGGCGCCCAGCAACCAGCGGCCCGGTAAGGCTTGTTCCGCGGCCCGGTACCGGTCCGCGGACCGGCGGTTGGGGACCCCTGATCCAGGTGACACCAATATATTGGAGTAGGTTGGCAGTGTGCACTTTTTATTTTTTTATAAAAAACACAGAAACAATAGCAACAGTGCTGCATACATTGTTGAAGGGAAGTCACGTTATAATTCTACATATACTTGCAAAGGCAAAATTATACAATTTCTATAGTACAAAATTATTCACAACAAATATATTTCACATTTATAAAACTATTTTTTTAACCTACAGCATTCTGTATCAGTGAGCCCCATATTTCATTGCACTTACCCATACAAACTATAGGCTGCATATACATCTATAGGCCATCTGCTCCTAGGTGACAAGTCCAATTTTCCTTCCACTGAGTGAAAAGGGCCATAAATTTATTTTTCCAATATAGTTTAATACGGAGACAAGCCCTGAGCTTATTCATCTTTGGGGCTCTAAAATACAGGTAGTCCTATTCTTACAATCATTTAATAACCATTCCAAGTTTCAACATCACCGAAAAAAGGGACTTATGACCGTTTTTCAGAGTTACGACCATTGCAGCATCCCCATCATCAAAATTCAGATGCTTGGCTCATATTTATGACGGTTACAGTGTCCGGGGGTTATTTGATCCCCTTTTATGACCTTCTGACCATGGGGAAGCAAGATTACCTTAACAACCATGTTACTAATTTAACTGTAGTGAGTCACTTAATGATTGTGGCAAGAAAGGTGGTTGAAATAGCACAACATTTACTGAAGTGCCTCGCTTAGCCAAGGAAATTTTGGGCTCAATCGTGGTCGTTAAGTCGAGGAGCACCTGTATAACACTCGCAGATAAGCTTGGCATTATTCACATTTAATAGCTAATAATACTATCATCCAAAGTGGGTTGGAGAGCAGCAGGGAGAAACTGGCACTGGGCCAACAGGTGGGGGAAGAATGAAGAAGCCATCAATAACAGTTTGGTATTTGGGAAAGCTAGGATGAACTAGAAAGTGAATTTAAAGAGAAAAGACAGGAAAGAATCCAGTGTATTGCTAGGGTGCAGTGCAAAAGAGATCACATTTCCATTAACAACATATTAAGATTCGTAGGAGAAAAATAGACACTCCAAATGAATTTGAAATAATTAGGAAAATCTGGATGTGCAACAGAAATATGGAACAAGTTTTACGGTTGGTTAGAGAAGAGGAAGGATCAAGAAAATAAGGATTGACTAAAAGCATAGAGAATGAAAATATGTATTATTATTATTATTGGACTTAGCAGTGTAATGACAAAGATGGATGTTAGGAGGATTGTTACCATGTTCAATGTTTTTAATGTACTTTTTGTTTTTGTTTGATTTGCTTAATAAAGAAAATTTAAAAAAAAAGATTCATAGGAATCTTGTCCGTGATCAGTGCCTTTCTTTGAAAGGAGTGTGTTTGAATTTTGGGGATTGTACCCATAATATTTTTCCAATATTTCAGAGGTGCCCCTCCTGGCCCCCACACAAATCAGAAGCCCCAATGGAGAAGCGGCAAGAATGGGGCTCCAGAGGCACTTGTGGTTTATCCTGTAGTTGATGGCCAGTATGACCCTAAAACAGGGATGGGAGACAGTGGCCCTTTTATGAGACGTGGTGGCACAGTGGTTGGAAGGCAGTACTGCAGGCTACTTCTGTTGACTGCCGGCTGCCTGCAATTTGGCAGTTCAAATCCAAGTCTCAAGTGATGGCGCTCCCACAACTTCTGAGGACAAAGCTGTTCCATGGGTGGATTGTTCTCACTGTCAGAAAATTTCTCCTTATTTCCAGGTTAAATCTCTCCTTGTTCAGTTTCCATCCATTATTCCTTGTCTGGCCTTCGGGGGCTTTAGAAAATAGCTTGACCCCTTCCTCCCTGAGGCAGCCCCTCAAATATTGGAAGACAGCTATCATTTCTCCCCTGGTGCTTCTCTTCTCTAGACTAGCCAGGCCCAGTTCCTGTAACTGTTCTTCGTATGTTTAGTCTCCAGTCCCCGAATCATCCTGGTTGCTCTTCTCTGTACTATTTCTAGAGTCTCAACATCTTTTTTATAATGTGGTGACCAAAACTGGATGCAGTACTCTAGGTGTGGTCTTACTAAGGCTTTATAGAGTGGTATTAGTACCCCACTTGATCTTGACTGTATCCCTGTTAATACAATTTAGGATTGCATTAGCTTTTTTGGCTGCTGCTGCACACTGCTGGCTCATATTTAGCTGGTTGTCCATTAAGACTCCAAGATCCCCCTCACAGTTACTGCTATTGAGCCAAATGTCCCCCAGCTCAAAATTAATGTGGGTTTCATTTAGGCGGTGGAATAAAATAAAATGTACCAATAAAGGAGAATATTTGCAGCTCAGGATTGGAACATTAGGGTTCCTTGCTGCTTTCTGAAGCTTGCTTGTTTTCTCACAGACATTTCATTACCTGACTAGGTAACGTCATCCGTTCCAGTAAGAAGTGCGATGTGCTGACAGGAAGCTCAGAGAGCACCGAGAACCCCTCAAAATAAAATGTTTTGGCTTGACAAGGGAGAGGGAGGTAGAGGAAGTTTTCAACTTATGATCATAATTGAGACTGCCCATTGTCATGACGACAATAAAAACAGGTCACCCATGTTGACCAACCCAATTTTACAACTAAAAGCTGCAAGTAAATGCTGGTTTTCAACAAAAACGTCGTAAAACACGGTCTTGTGACTGCAGGAAGCTGCAAACAGCCATAAATGCTACGGAGAGGTGGGCAGCCCTCAGCATTTTGGAAGCAGGTTGTAAGTACCCCTAAGTGGGTCCATTGTGACTTCAAACGGTTACTCAGCAACTGGTCGCAATTATATGTCCACCTATAGGGAGAAAATAAAAGATAAGCAGAAGGCAGAGATGACTGAAATCATCTTGGAGAACTTCAATCAAGCTAAGGAGATCGAGGAGCCGATTGAATTGCAATTCACAGGAGACCAGAAAAGGAACAATGGCCAACATCACACTCATCAGTTACTTCTTATAAGGCTGCCAAAAAGACCACTTCAAAATCTGGTATCAGGGAATTGTGGCAGCAGCTGTCCAGATGAAGTCAGGGGTACTAAAACAAACTTTGTAGTCTTTTATATATAGAAATACATTTAACATTTAAATTTACAGCTGCCTTTGTCATCATCCAGAAAAAACAACAACACAAGATAGTCAGGATCACAGAAACTTCATGAGGTAAATTAATCAGTACACAGAACACACAGAAGAAAAAGGTGGGAAAAAAGGAAAACTTCCCCTTGATACTTACAGCAGCCAATCATAGCACAGATTGCCTCATGCATGAATCAGCACTCTCTAACTAATCAACTACCATGTTTCCCCGAAAACAAGACCCGGATTTATTTTCTTTTGGGTTCCAAAATAAGCACTAGGACTTATTTTCAGGGCATGTCTTATTCCCCCCCCCCCCCCATGTACTTTAAGAGTACATGGGAGGCCTTGCTTGTGGCGGGGAAGGAGGCCACGCAGTGTGCCAGTGTCGTAAGCCGGGGGGATGGAGCTGCCCTATATGTCCCACACCAGCTTACCTTAGGGCCCTTGTAGCTTGTGCGGCCGTCGGCCCATTTCTTCTGTTTGCTTGTATAGCCACAACAGATCAGGAAGCTGAGTGATATACTGGTTTCGCGGCCACGAAGCAAGGCAGGGGGGTTGGAGCTACTGTTTGCCCTGCACTGGCTTACCTCAGGGCCCCCGCAGCCAGATAATCCAACACCTGCCTCACCTCGCAGCTGTGGCACCATCATGTTGACCTCCTGCTCTGTTGCAGCCACATGAGCAAGCAGAAAGTGGGCCAGCGGCCATGCGAAGTCCTGCTGGACAGGGATGGTGAGGCAGGTGTCAGGGTGTAGACGGCCTGGCTGTGGGGGCCCTAAGCCGGTGTGGGGCACTTGGGGCAGCTCCACCCCTCCACCTGGCCTCGCGCCCGCGGCACCACAAGCAACCAGATGGAATGGGTGGGCAGCCAGCTGCATAGGTGCTTAAGTAGGGGCTAGGGCTTATATTAGGTACACACACAAAAACATGGTAGGGCTTATTTTTGAGATAGGGCTTATTTTCAGGGAAACACAGTACAACTGTATGATCTGGCCAATTATACAATTTCCTGTTCCAGCTACTAAATTCATTATCCTAACATCTGGGGACAGCCTTCCCAAACCCAGAAGAGGTTGCAGGAATCCCTGCTTGTGTGAGAGAAACTCCCCTCCCTCTGCAGCTCTAGCATCCAATTCAACCTGGCCAGAATCCACAGGTGTTTTGCTGTAAAAGGGAGAAAAATGGGGAAGTTGACATCCAGTTGTACAATGGGAGGTCTTCTGCTCCCTTTGTAGTCCTGATGTCCTAAGACAGAGGTGGGGAACTATGGCCCCTTTATGATTTGAGGACTTCAATTCCCAGAATTCCTGAACCACCATGGGAATTCTGGGAATTGAAGTCCACAAGTCATAAAAGGGCCACAGTTCCCCATCCCTAATCTAAACTGACAGAACTGGAACTAAATAGTCACTGCAGAGCAGCTGGCTGGAGGGGCTCCAATGAACAGCCAGTTTGGTCTAGTAGTGAAGGCGCCAGGCTGGAAACCAGGAGACGGTGAGCTTTAGTCCTGCCTTAGGCATGAAAACTTGCTGGGTCATAGGGTCTCAATGACTCACAGGGTCGTTGCTGTGGAGAAAATGGGAGGAGGAAGGTTTATTGGAGATGTTAACTTATAAAGATGGGATAAAAATCTAATAAACAATCAAACCTACCTGAGGGGCTCCAAGCAGCCCATAATACTTTTATGTCCCTCTGGGAAAATTTTGAATCCCCCTACCCTACCTGCCCTTCTCACTGACATTTTTGCTAGTATTTGCTCTCAGGCCACAGCCTGACTCGATTCTCAGATGCAAAAGATAAAAATGAAACACGTGGTAATAATTCTACTCACGAGAAGGTTCATTCTTTGGCTCATCATTTCCTTTCTTGTATTCTAGGTTGTATAAAGAGAAACAAGAGGAGGGGGTTAGGAGAAAACCACAAGAAAAGCCAATCAATGACAGGAAGGTGTAGGTGTTAACGAGCTCATTTTGAACGGAATGGGGGAACTCACGATAGCCAACTCACCACAGCCATCTTGCCACAGTCAATTCACCATGGCCAACTCGCTGCAGGATAACTGGCCATGGCCAACTCGTCACAGGACAATTCAACAATTCAATGTCACGACTTAAAATAATTTAAAAATTATTGTAGGTCTTGTCATTCGCCTTTTCATTTTGTCCCTCCCTTGGCATCCTTTCTTTAATGATTCTGCACCAACTCAGGAAGCTCAAACTCCCCAAGGAGCTGCTGATCCAGTTCTACAGAGGAATTATTGAGTCTGTCATCTGCACCTCTATAACTGTCTGGCTTGGTTCTGCAACCCAACAGGACAGGCACGGACTTCAGAGGATAATTAGGACTGTAGAAAAAACAGTTATTGCCAACCTGCCTTCCATCGAGGACCTGTATACTGCACGAGTCAAAAAGAGGGCTGTGAAAATATCTACACACCCCTCACATAAACTGTTTCAACTCCTTCACTCCAAATGATGCTATAGAGCCCTGCACACCAGAACAACTAGACACAAGGACAGTTTTTTCCCAAAAGCTATCACTCTGCTAAACAAATAGTTCCCCCAACACTGTCCAACTATTTACAAAGTCTGTACTACTATTACTATTAATCTTCTCGTCACTCCTTTATCACCCATCCCCTCTCACTTGTGACTCTATGACTGTAACTTTGTCGCTTGTATCCTTATGATTTATATCGACTGTTTCCTAGTATGATTTGATTGCTTATTGTACCCTATGACTATTATTAAGTGTTGTTCCTGATGATTCTTGACTCTTGATGAATATATCTTTTCTTTTATGTACACTGAGAGCTTATGCACTGGAGATAAATTCCTTGTGTGTCCAATCACACTTGGCCAATAAAGAATTCTACTCTACTCTACTCTACTCTACTCTACTCTATTCTATTTCTTCCATTTCTTCGATTTTACTCTAACTTTTTGTCCCGTGGGAAGCTGGCCGTAGCGAGTTGTCCTGGACCCCACTTCAAAAGACGAGTATCACAAAAGCTAGTGCCTGAAAAGAGATTCCCAAGGCCTGGGGGAAAATATAGGAGTTTAATACCCTCCAAACCGGAGCTATCAAAGTCATGGTGTTACAGTGGCATCACATGACATATCGGGACTTCTTTTTCCTTCACTAAACTGGGCACGGGTATGGCCAGCATGTGATGCATCCGGCCTCTGGGCTGGGAGTTTGGGACTAGTTGGATCTCAGTGAGTGGATGTTGTCCTGTTCCAAAGACAGGAAAAGCAACAGAGATAGCACACTTCTTGGATCCAACTGAAAGACGCTGTTGACGCACCAGGAACTAAAGCACGCCAACCTCACTCGATGCATAGAAACAAGCCTAACGAAATATCACCCAAGCACTCCTTGATTAGGATGAAGAATCCCAGGATATTTGTTTTGATACAAATGGAACCCTGGATTATCAATGATCAATGAGTCATTCCCTTGGATGGAAGGGAAATGGGGAAAGCAGCAGCAGCAGCAACTGGGGGAGAAGGAACGCTTTCATTGAAACCTTTCTCTTTGACCAAAGCCTTCGAAAGAGGCAGATCTGTGATGCCCCTTCCCAACCTCAGAAGAAGACTGGAGTGTCCGAACCGCAGACTCAGCTGAATTGAGGCTGGAGTTCCAGCAAGAGGCTGAGATCTCAGATGCTCCTCAAGAGGGCTGAGAAAACAGGGAAGGAGGGGAGGGAGAAGAAGAAAAAGAAAGGAGGAGGAGAAGAGATAGGAGGAGGTGAAGAAGGGAGAAGAAAAAGAACGAAAAGGAGGAGGAGGGGGAGGGGGAGGAGAGGAGGAGGAGGGGAAGAGAAGAAGAAGAGGAAGAGGAGGGAGGAGGAGGAGAAGAAGAGGGAGAGGAGGGAGGAGGAGAAGAAGGGGAGGAGGAGAGGAGATAGGAGGTGAAGAAGGGAGAAGAAAAACAAGGAGAAAGAAGGAGGAGGAGGATAGGGGAGGGAGGGGGAGGAGAGGAGGAGGAGGGGAAGAGAAGATGAAGAGGAAGAGGAGGGAGAAGGAGGAGAAGAAGAGGAAGAGGTGGGAGGAGGAGGAGAAGGGGAGGAGGAGGAGGGAGGAGAAGAAGAAGGGAGAAGAAGAAAAAGAGAGGAGAGAGAAGGAAGAGGAGGAGGGAGGAAGAGAAGAAGTGGAGAAGAAGAGGAAGAGGGGGGGAGGAGAAGAAGAGGAGGAGAAGATGAAGAGGAGGGAGGAGGAGAAGAAGAAGGGGAGGGTGTTGAGGTAATTCCCCGTTAGGAGAATAAGTGCATACAGGGAGACGTAGTGAGAGTAGTGAAGAATAACACACACACACAGCACACAGATACACTGTACAGTAAATGTAGGTTTTTACTTCCCATAAATGTTTAAGCAGAGTCCAGGATAAGCAGTCCAAGTCATTCACAGGTAAGGCAGTCAGTTTTCAGTTCAGTCATTAGGAGGAATGGCAACTCTCTCCAACAGAAGGAAACAGAGACTCACTCACTTCACTGAGACTCAACAACCCAGGTTTCTGACTCCATCTTATGGCCATTTGCGGAACCACACCCAATTACAGTTTTAGCATTCTCTTAAAGACATAGTATTAAAATGTCTATCCTAGTATATATATTTCCAACCCAAATAACTGTTAGGTGACTTACATTCCTAACATTCTCCCCTTTTGGGTAGGACAATATATACAACCTTACCTTCTAAGTCCATAATCCTCACAGAAGAAGAGGAAGAGGAGGGAGGAGAAGGGAGGAGGAGAGGAGGAAGAGGAGAAGAGGAAGAGGAGGGAGGAGGAGGAGACGGGAGAAGAAAAAGGAGGAGGAGGAGGGAGGAAGAGAAGAAGTGGAGGAGAAGAGGAAGAGGAGGGAGGAGAAGAGAAGAAGAGGAAGAGGAGGGAGGAGGGAGGAGGAGAGGAGGAGGAGAAGAGAAGGAGATGAGGAGAAGAAGAGGAAAAGGAGCAGGAAAGGAGGAGAGGAGGAGGAGGTGAGGAGGAGAGGAGAGGAGGAGGAGGGGAGGAGGAGAGGAGGAGAAGAGGAGGAGGAGGAGGAAGGGGGAAGGAGGAAAGAGGAAGAGGAGGAGAAGGAAAAGAAGAGGAAGAGGAGGAGGAGGCAGTTTGGTCCATGGTTAAGGCACCAGGCTAGAAAGCAGAAGACTAAACATGAGTTCAAGTCCCACTTTGGCCATGAAAGTCAGCTAGGTGACCTCGGGTCAGTCAATCTCTTTCAGCCCAACCCAACTCACAGGGTTGATGAGGAGGGGCACAAATAGGAGGAAGGTGTGTTGGAAATGTTTACTGCCTTGAGTTATTTGTGAAAAACATAAAGGCAGGTAATAAATAAATGAATAAACAAACAGGTAAGTGAACAAACTAGCTAGCTCCACAAAGGGAGACCTGTGGGAGGAATCTCCCCATCTACTTTCAATCACCCCGAAAAGAATACTTACTGAGAAATACGAATACCAAGATCCCAGCAACTGCACCCACTACGATGAAGCCAGCCACACCACCGATGACGATAGGCCACAGGTTGGACCTGGATCCTGGAACTGGATTGAGAAAAAGAGTAAATCACTCAATGGGAACTACAAAATATCTGTGTCAACTCATAAAACATTCTTATGCCTGCTTTAGTAGTTGCCATAAAAAAAAGGGGGAGGAAGAAATCTGAAAGAGCAGTGCAGCAGTTTGGAAGTGGAAGTACATTTCAACTCTTCTCTTTAAAAGATTGTAACTAAACTACCAGAGCTTTTCCCCGTGAATATATTTAATTGGAGAACGTGATTGATGACACCCTGCCTGCAAACGTGCTCAATTGGAGAATCTGGTTTAGGAGACACCCAGGGGGGAGGGGGGAAATAGGGTCACAGGGGACTATAAATGATACATGCCAGAGTTGGCTTCACACGGGGCAGTGCCAGTATGTTACCTCTAATAAATCCTTTGAAGTTTTTTGAAGTTTGGCTCGAGAATCATGATTTAATTAGGGCGATTGCTGGAATCCTGACAGCAAGTCAACTCTGGCATATGTAATTTACAGTGACCCTGTTTCCCCCCTCCTGTTTCCCCCCTGACACAAGCCATAAAAAGAGACAATGGTAAAATAAAGTAATATCTGGGCACAATTTCTCTCCCATAATCTACCAGTTGGAAAAAAAACAGCCCAGCCTTTCCCTCCCTGCAGCCTCTCACCCTTCAGGGCCAGTTCCAGGGGCTCCTGCAAGCCATCATGCGCCACGTAGCACCGATAGCGATCCCTCTCTTTGGGGTCGATCTGGATTCCGAGCCAATAGTAGTAGGTCCCATCCGCGGTGGGGGCCACAAACCCACTGAGGGTGTCTTGCAGCCAGACCTCCCCGTCCCTCCTCCAGAAGGCATCAATCTCCTTGGGGTAGAAGCCATAAACTTGGCAGGCATGAGATTCCATCCCATCGGTTTCCGTCCTGCTGCTCAACATCACCACTGGAGGCTCTGGAAAAAAAGGGGGGTTAGGATCAAAACCGAGCCTTCCCAGAAATCATCATTTGGTGACTTTGTGCATCATGAGCCACGGTGGCGCAGTGGTTAGAGTGCAATACTGCAGGCTACTATTGCTGACTGCCAACTGCCTGCAGTTTGGCAGTTTGAATCCCACCAGGCTCAAGGTTGACTCAGCCTTCCCTCCTTCCAAGGTGGGTAAAATGAGGACCTGGATTGTTGGGGGCAATAGGCTGTCTCTGTAAACCGCTTAGAGAGGGCTGTAAAGCGGTATATAAGTCTAAGTGCAATTACTATCACACATACAACCAGAACTAGGAGTCACCAAATAGATCCAAGTTGCTTTGAACAGCTTCTTTCACCCAGAAAAACAAACATAAAAGCACTTTATTAAAAGCAGGTAGTCCTCAACTTACAGCCGTTCATTTAGTGACTGTTTGAAGTTACAATGGCACTGAACAAAGTAACTTATGACCGCTTTTCACACTTGTGACCATTGCTGCATCCCCACAGTCATTTGGATGCTTGACAACTGACAGTTGCAGTTTCCCAGAGTCCTTTTGCAAAGCCTTTTGTTCAGACCATGGCTTCCTGAGACCGTAATTAGTTACAACAGCTCTTGTTTTATTTCAACGCTGGGAATTGTGTTCATTCCCAGCCCGTAATGAGTCCCAAACAGTCCCTCGAGATAAGCACCTACCTTTCTCTCCTTTGAATTGCTGCCAACAACTAAAGTGCCAAATGAACTATAAAAAAACCAACTGTACAAAGTCCACACAAAGGATTAATCTGAACAGAACGAACGACTTTGCTTCCTGCAAAGGTTTCTCTACCTTTACCTCTCCTTTATACCTTAGGGGAGGGGGCAACCACCTCCAAGCCTTACTCCCGAGTCACCCCTTTTGTCTCAGCTGCTCTTGCCTTCTAGCAGCTCTGCACACACGCGCACTGGGGACAGGTTCCTCTGCCTCGCTGCTCTCAAACTCCGGAGGCTCCGGAGTCAGCACCCCACTCCCAGATGGTCCTGTCCCCATCTCTGCATCGGACACAGGATCCTCGTTCGACCAGACTCCCAGACTGGTCCCCATTCTTCCCCACTGTCCAATTCTGCTACCGTCTGCACAGGCTGCCGGTGAACCACAACACCTTCTGATGAGCAAAGCCAATCAGAATCAGAATTGTGTTCTGACCCAGCCTTAGCTGAAACAAGGAACAGACTCCTTGCAACGAAAAACCTCTCTTTATTTACCTCTTGTAAATCAATTGCATTCACCCACCGAAAAGTCCAGGCAATGGTCCTTCAAAGAGTTAACTGCAGTAACAGACCTTATTAGTTCTTTGCGATAATTGCAAGGCCGTGAGCTCCCAGCCAAAAACTAAGTTCTGGCAAGCAGTCTCTGTGGCATGAAATACAATGAGCAAAATCTTCAGAAATATGAACTGCTGTCCCTACAACAACCACTCCCCTTTCCTTCTATTTATTCCCCAGCCAGGGAGGGGCCATTCAGCGTTCATGTGTGCTTTGCTTCCCGAGTTGACTCCTTGACCTCCGTTGTTCCCCTCTTCTAACAGCTCTGAGCATACGTATGTCTGGAACAGGCCCCAGCTGTTCTTCCTCCTCACTCATATTAGCCTCCAAAGGCAGCTGTGTCTGACACAGACCATCCATCAGAGCCTTCCCCAGGCTCCAGAACTGGCTCAGGTTCCTCCTCCTTGTCCGATTCTGCCGCCAGATCTGCTGGCAGCTGGCAGGCCACAACATATCAAGCTGGAAGGGACCTTCTAGTCTTCTAGTCCAGCTCAAGCAGGAGATCCTATACCATTTCAAACCAGGGACTGTCCAACCTCTTCTTAAAAACCTCTAGTGATGAACTGCCCACAACGTCTGAAGGCAAGGTAAGCAAGGAACAGGACAAATCCTTACAAGGTCTGAACCTACACAGGAAACACTTGCCACACCAAAGCTGTGTGTGGAGTAGCAGATGCAGCTCCCTCACACTTTTCTCCCGGGCCATTTCTCCATACCTTTCCTCAAGAATGACTTCGCTCCGTAGTGGTCGTTCTTCTGCAGCCATTCCATGCAGGTGCTCTCCAGGTAGCCCGTGAAACGCTGCTTGATGGCGGTTTCCGACTCCCATTTCCGCTTGATTTCCTGGGCTTCCGTGTCGATTGCGGTCCACATGGAGGTCCCCATGTCATAGCTGAGGAAATCCCGCCCGTCGTAGCCGTACTGCCAGTGTCCGCTCCTTTTCCCGTCTTCCCCTACTTGACAGAAGATCATCATCTGGACGATGTGAAACCCTGAAAGAAGCACCCCCCCAGAGTTAAGGAGGAATAGCTCTCTTGGGAGATCGGGGAAAGCCGCTCCCTGTGGGGGCTCCAGATTCTGTGACTGCTGAGACAAGAAAGCAAGGAAGACAGAGATTACAGGAAGAAATCTTGGAGACCAGCCAAGGTCAAGAGAGAATTTGGGATCTGTAAGACAAATGTCAGGATTCCGGCAGTTACCCCCATTTAAATCATCCAGAAGTTGCCAAACTTCCAGAAGTTAAAAAAGATTTATTGGGAGTTAACATGTCCGGCACTGCCTGGGTGTAGCTGATTCTGAAACACATAATTCATTGTCACCCTTGACCCTGGTTTTTCCCTATCCCTGGGTGTATCATAATTCATATTCTCTGTGATGACCCAGGATGGGATACAAAAGCAACAAAGTCACAAAAACAGGTGAAGTCCCTTTAATTCCTTCAGCTTGGCTTTAAAGGTCCAATTGTTATTGACTGGAGAAAAAAACTCCCCCACAAACAGTTGTGAAAAGGAAGAAGTTCCATTCAAACTCAAAATACATATAAATTATAAATAGAAAAAAACAACAACACAAACCACACTGAAGAATTAATGAGACAAGGCAGGATAAAGGCTTGAAGACGTCCACAGATATCGAAATACACACACTGGGAAGGACACCAGAACTCAGATAAGAACTGACAGACTAGAAATATTTTCACACTTTGCTTCCAGCACTGGCCCATGCGCAGTTTGTCCGTTTAAACAGTCCTCATGTTTAAAGTCCTCATGTTTAAAGTCCTCATGTGCAGCCCATGAAGGGGATCAAGATCCTTTCCTTCCGCATAGACCACGCCATTCACGTTTCTCCCGTATCCGCTCCTCCCTGCGTGCCCTAGGATGAAGAGGGGATGGGCCTGGGTCTTCCTCTGAATGGCCAGCCTGCCTGTGCCCTTCCCCAGTTTCCTCCACGACCTCCGGAGCCACACTCCCACTCCCTGTTGGCTGTTCCTCCTCTCCCATGGAGTCAGATTCGAACAGGGGCATGACATTCTCCAATGGGACATATCCATAGCCAAGAGTCATCAATCATGCTCTCCAGTTAGAATTTTGCGTGGCAGAAATTTTGGTCACCTAGTTATTATCTTTGAAAACAGTTATCAAATGCAGTTTTGGTTTGCAAGCTGCTGCACTGCTCCCCACTCCCTTTCGGTTGGCAACTCTAAAACGACCAGAGAAATATTTTATGAGCTGACCACAAGATCTCAGCCTCACTATGAAGGAACTCGCTGCAAACGAGGCTGGGAAATAAGCATGCTGAGTACAGCAGCTGCTGGGAGCAAATGTGAGATTATCTTGTGTTGACTTTGCTTATGTGTGGTCTTGGCGTCATCTCAACCATGTTGAGTTATTACCCTGCCTTCACATCTAGAATTCTTGCTCCTGCCCTGCCAGACTAATTACCTCATCTTGCCTTGTTTGGACTTATGTTACAGTTTTTGTTGACCACATTTTGGACTTGATTCTCTGCAGCCAAAGGCTGTTCCTGGGAGAGTTTTTCTCCAGCCCAGAAGGTAACCAGGGCATTGGGGGCAAAGTTGGAGCTAATAAAGGGACTCCTATTGATTATCTGACTGTATTGCCTTTGTGCCATGCCCCAGGTCATCACACTCCCTTAAAGCCACACAAGGCAGGTGAAAAGGGAATTGTTTCTTACATTACAATGGGGAGAGAGGAGGCAAGGGGCAACAACCGGGAGGGAGGGAGGAAAAGGGGGTAAGGAAGGAAGGGAGGAAGGAAGGGCAGGCTTTGGCAAACAGCTTATTGTGGACCAATTGATCCAATTCATGAGGAAGGCAGGAAGATCCGTGAGAGAAATGGAGCTTTTCCCTCCACCACCTTCCTTTTGCAGGATAGCATCCACTACTTCCCCTCTCTCTGCTCACTCACCTCCACTTTGGTTATAGCGTTTCTGGAGCATCTCCACATTCTCCTGAAAGTCGTCCTGGTCTTTTTGCAAAATCCAGGTGTACCTGTTGTAGAATTTGGGATCTTCCTTCTCCAGAGTATTTATCCAGTCTACCCGAGGATGCATCTTCTTGGTGTGGCTTTCGTAGCGACTGATGAGCTGATTGTCAACGAAACCCATGGCGGAGAAGAGCGGCAGTCCCGGAGAAACCTCGGTCGCCGAAGTGTAGCTCACGCGGATGGTGCGGGGGGAGGAGCCTAGGGAGAAATGAGAGCAGGGCGGAGTTAGGGACTTGGGAACTGAGACTCCAGAGGAGTTGCAGCCTGAGGTGCAATGATAAGGGACTGTCAGAGCTGCCATTATACGCTTGAACTTCACATTTTTGGGGCTGACAGTCTTGTTGAGGTAATTCCCCGTCAGGAGAATGAGCGCATACAGGGAGACGTATTGAGAGTAGTGTTTGAATAGTACACACACAGCACACAGATATACTGTACATTAAATGTAGGTTTTTACTTCCAGAAAGGTTTAAAGCAAAGTTCAAAACAAGCAATCCAAAGTCATTCACAGGTTAAATCAGTCAGTTTTCAGTCCAGGGATAATCCAATAACGAAGTCCAGTGTCAAAAACAGTTCAGTATCAGACTTACATCAAATCCAAGAATAGCAGTCAATTAGAAAAACGGCAATAATCTCCAACAGAAGGAAACAGAGACTAACTCACTTCTGAGACTAAGACTAAACAACCCAGGTTTCTGGCTCCATCTTATGGCCGTTTGAGAAACCACACCCAAATACACTTTTGCATTTTCTTAAAGATACAGTTTTAAAATGTTTATCCTGGTTTATATATTTCCAACCCAAATAGCTGTTAGATGACTTACATTCCTAACAAGTCTGCCATGAACTCTGGGGGAAAGGAACCTGGGAAGAAGCAGGCCTCTCAGAGACACTAAAGAGTCTTCAAGGTCGTTACCCTGGGAGAATAGAATAGAATAACAGAGTTGGAAGGGACCTTGGAGGTCTTCTAGTCCAGCAGTCACGACCTACTGGTGGTCCATGAGAAAATTTTGGTGGTCCGCAGAGAAATGTCACCCCCAAATCAATATGGCGCAGAATGAAATAATCTTACTTTAGGATGGATCGTGATTGGGCCATGTGATGTGATGACGGTGTCATGCCCTTGTTGGAGTCTGATTCTGAGATGGAGATTGAGCACCTGACAGGGAGTGGGAATGTGGCTCCGGTGGCTGTGGAAGAAATGGGGGAAGGGCACAGTCTGGCTGGGCATTCAGAGGAAGACCCAGGGCCACCCCCTCTTCATCCTAGGGCATGCAGGGAGGAACGGAGAAGGGAGCAACGTGGCTTACAAGAGAGAAAAAGGCCCCGATCCCTTTCATTAGTTGCAGCTGGGAGGATATAAGTGGGGAATTTGCACACAGCTCCTTGCTGGAAGCAAAGTGTGCATTATCTTGGTCGAGGCTTATTGGGGTTTTGGTGTCCTCCCAACTGTGGGTGCTGTGTTATTCTTTGAAAGTCTGCAATTTATCATCCTGGCCTTCCATGTTAACTACTTCAGTGTGGTTTGTGTTGGGTTTTTTATTTCTAATTATCTTTACTTTGAGTTTGGACTGCATTTCTGCCCTTCGTAGACTGTTTTTTGAAGAATTTGATATCCAGCCGAGGATAATTGGACACCGGGGCCAAGTTGGAGGCATTAAAGGGAATTTATTCTATTTTGGTGACTTGGTTATTTTTGTGTCACGCCCAGGGTCATCACAGAATTGTACACTGTTAATTGCTATACAGATAGTCCTCAACTTATGACTGCAATGGAACTCCAAATTTCTGTTGTGAAGTGAGACATTTGTTAAATGAATTTTGCCCCATTTTACAAGCATTTTGGCCTCAGTTGTTAAATGAAACAACTGCTGTTAAGTTAGTAACACGGTTGTTAAGTGACTCTGACTTCTCCATTGATTTTGTTAGATCACAAAAGTTGATCCAAGGACAATGTAACCATCATAAAATAGAATAGAACAGAATAGAATAGATGATATGGAATGGAATGGAATGGAATGGAATGGAATTAGACTAGACTAGACTAGACTAGACTAGAATAGAATAGAATAGAATAGAAATGATGGGATAGAGAATAGAATAGAATAGAATAGAATAGAATAGAATAGAATAGAATAG